GGGGAGGCTTTAACGGCGGCTGTAAGGCCCAGGGACTGGAGGGCAGCGGGTGGACGGCGTGAACGCGGAGACGAGCAAGTTCATCTCACTGACTATTAATAGCGCTGCACTTGCTGTCAAGGGCAGCGCGAGGCCGCGTGTCGCCACTGACATCAGGGATATCGAAGACGGCATCAGGAGGGGATGGCGTGGCCCGAGCTGAACCCTGCCCTGAAGGACGGGAGAGGGACAGGGCAGACGAAGCCTCGCGCCTCCACGGAGGCAAGGGCGCGACGGTCCCTAAGAGGCTTAGGCGAAAGAGAAGGGGATTTTGTTCCCCCGCGCAAGGCTGCAGAGCATGACGTGTAACCACAAACACGAAACCAGCGCGGTGACAAAGCTTCAGCTCAAACTTTCTGATAGTTTCCACAACAGAAGAGGGAGGTAACAACATCTCTTTTAAAGTCAATTGGTCAAATCCAACCGTCTCGCATTTCCTATCTTCTTTTTTTTTTTTTAAACCATCTTTTTTCCAAGGTAGCATCTCCTACTTTAAGATGTTAAGGGCTCCCTACTCAAACTTCTTCCAGCAGAAACACTGTTTCACCCGCAAAACTGATTTAGGGCTCATTATCTACAAAGGAGAACTAAGCAGAATTCATTCTGAATAAAATACTCCGATAATGAAAACACTTTGCCTGACCAGAGGTTCGGAAAGTTAGTCTGACACTTTCATCCTGCATCCCTCCGAGAAATGCAGTGAAATGCAACAGCAGACTGCCTGCAACAGTGATTTACAAAAGGCCCTAATTACGTCAGCAGCACAAGGCACCTTCTATTCAAAATTAAGGTTAAGAATGCTAAGCCAAGCAGAGCGCTATATTGGCTGAACATTCAGTGCTTTACAGTGCAAAGGAGCAGATAACAGACTGCACCATTGTTCGGGGAAGAATTCTTCCCCCAAGCTTGCTTTTTTTTTTTTTCCTGTTTTGAAAGACAGAAAGACTTAAAAATTTAAAAGAACATTAATATTCATCACTTCAGTGATTTCATATAATGGGTTGCGTATCTTGAGTACCCTCATGGCTGTTTCATCTTCCAGCCTCAGTTCCTCAACCTCACTGCGGTATTTTGTGGGCATCAAGTAATGCAAACATTATTAGGAATCAGGACAAGAAAAACCCACTCACGTCACGGTCACGTTACTTCTTCTCCACTTTTCTATTTGTGCTATTTTTTTCCTTCCTCTGCAAAAGAAAACCCATTACTATATACAATTACCATAAAAATTCGCACTTTTAAATGACGTTATGCTGAAAACCTTCAGCATCAAACAGATCCAAATTTGCATTCTACAGTCTGAAATTAATCACAGCGTAATTTATATCAGTGCAAACCATCCTTTGTTATCCTGGATGATGACTCCTAACTAAGTATAAGGAGAAAGTAACAGTTATCAGAAGGCCCTCTGACTGGAATCTAGTAGATAAAAGGTTTCAGTACACTATTTCTTCAAGAGTTTCCCTTTATAAGAGATGAAGATCAGAGACATCACAGAAAGCCATTAAAATACACTGACAAGTCATTACCAAGAGCTGCACAAACTGAAAATCAGTCCAGCAAGGTCTGACTTCTGTCCCCCGATTTCACTCATCAAGAGTGTTCCGACACGAGAACCGAACCACCAGTGAGGTAAATAGAAAGAAAATTGAACTGAAATCCGTGTACCTTGTGCAAGCAGAATTACTGCAGAAGGCATCTACATACCAGGCAGGTACTTGCTGTTTTTGCCAGAACCCTGTTTTGATGAGATCATTTTTCCGAAAGCTTTCTACACTCAAAGCTCACACGCTCGCAAGAGCAGAGTCAGAGTCACTGGAGGAATGGGGAAGCTTTCAGTTAGGATCAGTCAACTCAAAGCTGCTGAAGACTCCAGCTCTGCCCTTGCCTAGCTGAAGAGGTGACAAAAAAAGGAAGGGTTTGCTTCCTAAAGCTGCAAACCTTTGATGAAGAAAAGCCTCCAAGCACACTCTGTGCACACCCAACAGGCAAGCAACTCGGTCAACCACATCTACACACTGAAGCACCAGCCAGGCCCCCCTTACTTGCCCAGCAGCACTAAGGCAGCATCATCAGACACGGGAATTCCAACTGCTGCAATGAAACAAATATATAGGTCAACCCTATGGCTCTTTTTGCCTCCTCTGTTGCACAGCTCATGCAGGAAAAAAGCCCTTCAGAGAAACAGCAGCAGTAACAGCAATACATTGCAGATAGGATCACTTATACACAAGGCATCAGACAGTACTTCCTTACAAAAGAAAAACAACTGCCAGTTATTTGATCATTGCCTTTTTTCCTACATATAAACATAAAACCCTAGGAAATGCTGAGGTTAAGGTTCTCATAGCAACATTAACTCTCTCCTCTGGCATATACTATATTTAGGTACACATCTGAAAGCCTATGAACAACATAGGAGAACAACTGTTGTAAGATCAAAATCTTAGTCTCCGACTTTCATATTCAGAACAGCAATCTTCAAAAGAAAAAAAGGACTTAAACTGGCCACGTTACAAAACCCCTCTCTGCTGGGCCACTGA